CTGGGAATGTCATTTCCAAGCTTGATCTCCCTGGAGGATAGGGAGAGGCCTTTAGGGTACAAACTAGGAAAAAGCTGGAACTGTAGTGGCTGTGACAGTTACACATTATTATTCTTAAATTAAGATCAAGCCCAGTCAGGAAACCGAAGTGTAGTCACTCCATTTTCAAAGAGTCATATTAGTATAATCCAAGACAGGAGTGTCCAATTTAAACAAACCAACCTCCACTTGAGAAGGAAAGCGCAGTAGGTGGTTGGCCACTGGAAAAAGCCAAGCTAAGAAAAAAAAATGCAATTTTTGCTCTTGAGGTTTTCTGGTCTTGAGAAAATCCCTTCGTACATTATTTGTTCAGTCAATTTAAACAGTGTTAACAGCGTACATCAACTGTGCTATCAAAGCATCTGATGCTACTCTAATTAAAGAGAAGGTATAATTACTTCTAAGAATGCTTTAAAATAAATGTTATTTACCGTAAGTAGGAATTCTTAACTTGACATTTGAAATTCGAAACATGACTAATTGCATCTGTGTCTTTACATCTAGATTCTCACACTTTATGGCTATGGATTTATTAATACAGAAGGAAATATGGGGCAGTCATCCATTTTATTATAATGCCTTAAAAGCTTGTATAATCAACCACGTTTTTTCTACTCAGTTTTTTATTTTTCTTACAAGACAGGATCCCTGATGGAACTTTCAGAAACAGGTCCAATGATAAGTCGTTTGCTATCACAAGTAAAACGGTTTCCAAAAAGCTGTCACTGAACGAACAGGTTAACGCTTTGAGAGTAGAAGCGTTCGTTGGTATTGCCTTCATCAAACGATTTACTAGAGAAAATTATTTTAGAAGAAATTATTCTTGGGGAGGGGGGAAGGCACAAGATAAAGTGTAAAGACAGAAAAGTCCTTTTTGGGGATGTTAGATACGTTCAGTGTTAAATTAGGAAACAAATGATGTGTTTAAAGTGCATTTTCATTACCTGCTTATACTTCATAACCCATTGTTGACACAAGCCAACTGCCCCTTTTCATTGCTGTTGAAAGTAAAAAGATCTGAGCATACAAAATTGACACTCAGCCTAAGAACAAGTGGACAAATTGGTTGAATTGTTGTGTGACAGCCGTCATGTACTAGGTCTACTATCTTCATTGTGTTATATTCCTACCTCTAGATAGATTTTGTGAGAAACACATACTCCGTCCTTCTCCTCCTTTCTGGGAATTACGGTACTGTGTTCAAAGAATCTTGTCAGCCTTACTGTTAAGCAAACATAATGCACTGATTCACTGGTGTATGTGTGTGTGTTTTGGCATCAGAAAAGTTGTAGAAATGATTATGCTTCACAGTCACTATCATAATCTCTCTGTGCTTGATATTAGGCGACGTAAAAAGAATGTTTCATATAAACAGAGAACTGAAATTAGTTTGTGTATTTTAATCTGTGCATCAACAACTGAAAGTTACTTCATCTGTTTAGCTGAAATTTCACTTTAGAACAGCTGCATGAACTCCAGAAAGCCTAGTCATTTCTAAAAGCAAAGAAGTATACTTTAAAATGTATTGTCTGTGGGGGAGGGGGGATTGGCTGGTTAACCTTTCTCCTAGTCTAAGCCTCACAAAATTAGAATTAATTTACTGGAACCGGTAGAGCAAAATATTGGCTTACATGCATTCTAAATTTTGTTGTTTAGTCATTAAGTCATGTCCAACTCTTCGTGACCCCATGGACCAGAGCACGCCAGGACCTCCTGTCTTCCACTGCCTGCCGGAGTTGGGTCACATTCATGTTGGTCACTTCAGTGACCCTGCCAAAGTATTGGCGCCTCAGCTTCAGGATCTGTCCTTCAGTGAGCACTCAGGGTTGATTTCCTTCAGAACGGATAGGTTTGTTCTCCTTGCAGTCCAGGGGACTCTCAAGAGTCTCCTCCAGCACCATAATTCAAAAGCATCAATTCTTCTGCGGTCAGCCTTCTTTATGGTTCAGCTACAGGAAAAACCATAGCTTTGACTATGTGGACCTTTGTTGGCAAGGTGATGTCTCTCTTTTTTAAGATGTTGTCTAGGTTTGTCATCGCTTTCCTCCCAAGAAGCAGGCGTCTTTTAATTTCGTGGCTGCTGTCACCATCTGCTGTGGTCATGGAGCCCAGGAAAGTAAAATCTGTCACTGCCTCCATATCTTCTCCTTCTATTTGCCAGGAGGTGCTGGGACCAGTGGCCATGATCTTAGGGTTTTTTTTTAATGTTGAGCTTCAGACCATTTTTGTGCTCTCCTCTTTCACCCTCATTACGAAGTTCTTATCGGCCTTCTCTAGTTGGAACTATCAAATGGGTTCAGGCCCTTGATGCCTTAAAATTCACTACACATTTTAAAGAGAATTTACACCACAGTTTTCACACAAACACCACAGATATGAATCCAGAACGAATACCAAACACAGTTCATTATCCCTCATCAGTGGGTTCAATAAATCAGTCCACGTGGTGTTAAACTCAGCATGGACAGATGCCTTTCCTAAAATGACTGCAATGGAAAGTGTTAAAGGGGGGGAAAGGACTACAGTACTATAAATGAGCAACGATGAATTGCCTCCTAAAACTTAAAATAGTCTCCCATTATTAACCAACCAAGGAATTGCAAAACTACTTTATGTTGGCCAATTGGGGAAGGTTAGGTAAAGGCCAGCTGAAACCCTCCATATCTGCAGATTAGATATTCCACACTGTGCTGTTTCAATATTATAGCAAAAGGGAATTTCTCTTGAAGGAGATTTATTCTCAATGAAGCATTCATAGGGAGTTTTCTTTCTCAACTATATCCCAAATGAAAGCAAATTATAGTGCAATGGATTTGTCTTAACAAAAGTCATCTTTAAGTACCACCCAGTACAATGGCTCTTATCCATCCTATTGTTCTAACTGAAGGAGACCACAGTATAATCTATTTCCTGTAAGTGGAAGAATCCAGTTCTGTTTGTCAGCTGCCACAAACTGAAAACCTGACTGTCCTCTTGGACCATGAGAAGCAGCCAGTCTACTTCATTAGCCAAGGAGCATCATTAAAGGACACATAAAACCTTTAACCTCAGCTGGTAGTAATTCCAGATTTATTACCTTGGAGGGGCAGTAAACAGAACTGTATTGCAACATTGGTTGGTTTCAAGCTTATTATTCTTTTCCTTGGAAACCAGCTTGCACAAGAAGGAAATTGAAAGAAACAGACCAAAGCAAAATCTGATAATATGCATTCTGTATTGTACGTTTTGTATGCAGGATTGCAGATCCTTGCTAGTGATTTAGGAACTTTGGTTCTTGTTCTAGCTGGAAGAAAGTATGAGTGTCTGAATGTTTCTGAGGATGCTGTAAACACAGTCCTGCCTCAACCTATACCTGGAGGAAAATCCCTTTGATCACAATCCAGGTAACATCTAAATGATGATAGTGGTGGTGATTATGCTCTGTATTTGTTTACAATTAATTATATAAGTTAATAATAGCTAATAAGCTGACACTAGAAACTTCTCATCTTACTGCATCTAAATCACATTCCAGACTTGGAGAAAGACATAAAGTTGGCTCTGGTTAATAGAAGCAAACTGCCAAACCAGAAGAGACAAGAAAGGGTGAGATGGGAATAATGGGATATAACGAGACATTGACCTGTGGGACTCACCAGAGTCGGAACTCAAGAACACGAGATCGCCCTTGGAGACCCGATGTTCTCGCGCTGTCAACTCCATCAGCACCGACACTAAAGGACACGTACCTGAATCCCAGGTTTGGACAGTTTGAAACTCACACTGACAATCCTTTTATGAACCAAGATTTCAATCCCTTCCTCAGGGTGAAAAAGAGAAGTTAAAAATTCCAGTTACTATTAATAGGGTTTTTAGACTTTACTGAAATAAATGTTAACGTTTTGGAACCTATGAATGCGATGTCATTACTTGGACCGGAGGATGAAAAGGGAGGTGGTTTACCTCAAGAAACAACTGAACCCTCCCACCTACCCCCCCCCAGGTAACACAAGTACACAGACCTCTAATCTCACCCTTATTTTTTTCTTTAATGCTCTTCAAAGATAGGAAAATCAAAACGGTTTCTTCCAGAACTATACTCCCCACTTGGCCCCCAGATGACAAATGTGTGTTGAGTACCATTGCCGACACAGTTCCATGCCTAAGGTTAATGTCAGTGCACAAGGTGTGGAAACTATTTAGAAGTTTGAAATTTGTCCCAGAATCTGCAAGACAGAACACACTCACAGGCATGCAGTCTGACATATGATAAAAGCCAGTGGATTTCAGGAAGAGTCAAAAACGTTGTGTTGATTTAGTCTTAGTTGTCAGTGAAGACCAAAAATCCTAATGGCAAGATACAAAACAAATAATTTTTAACCTGTGCTAAATCCAGGAAATAAGATAGGACTGAAATATGTTATAAATATGATTTCACCATCATGCAAGTGCTGAAAGTCAGCTTCCTTAGATAAAAGCACAATTGCAGGTGGCTGAAAATAGTTAAAGCTCATCTAGTGGATTGCTGGGGTGGCTCTCCTGTTGTCTTCCTTGAAAGAGAAGTCCACTTAGACCCATGCACAAACCTGCAAGGTAATAAGCAGGTATGGGGAGGCAGAGGGAGGGAACGCAGGGGGACGACAGATGGTGATAGGGAACACACACAATCAGATCTGTCCAGTTTTGAGAAACGACAACTATAATTAACCAGTAACTTTAGTTGTTACAATACAAGTGCTACGCATTTTCACGAAAAGGGACACTCAACAATTACGTGTACCAAAAGCAAAACCAAAACAAAACCACCCTGAACCCAATCTGAGCAGGGAGTCGCAGCTTAAAATGTGCCCCTCAGTCCCAGACATAAAATTACACCCAGCTTTGAACAGCAGCAACAAGAAGTGGACAAAGCGTTCCCCTCTTAAGCCAGTCGAGAGTTTTTCAGCGCTCTGACAAAGACCAGGAAGGCAGTCGGGCTGCGGCACACTGGATTTCTCTGCTGAGCTGCTGACATCACTGGGTAAAAAGTTTGGACTCAGCCGGCCCCTCTACTCTTCGGTGGCAAAGGGGAGGCCCCAAACGTGTCTCTTGCTGGTGGATCCCTTCCTCTTGTGGGAGGGGGAAGTGCAAGCTATCCAACCAGAACTTGTCTTCTTCCCCGCATGCTTGATTACCTCCCTCCTCCCTGCTTACAGCATGAAAATCCACCACAAAGGAGCTGAACTTCAAATAGGGCTGATTCAACTCGGCTTGAAATGATGGATTGAACGCTTCAGGACTGAAACACAGAAAACCCGGGAGTTCCTGAAAAGCAAGCCGCTGCTGCAGCCTATTGTCCCACCGTGTCTATAGCATGAGGGCCGCCCGGCTCAGAGTCAGCAATCGAGTTAAAGGGACGGGAGTTTAAACAGTAAGGAAATCACAGCACCGCAGTAGCCTTATGTGGTTGTCCTTGCAAGACCAGTGCCAAATGCACGGACTTTTCCATGTTACAGAAGCCAGGCAGCACTCAAGGCAGATGAATATATTCATCCTGGTATCAGTGATGTCACAAATGCTGTGGATGAGCCAGTCAGTGTATCTTTGATTATTATTATTATTATTTAAAAAAAAATCAAGCCTGAAGGTTGAAGAAAGAAGTCCAACAGAAGCAGGGTAAGAAAATGTAAAGCCTCACATTTTAATTGTGCATGTTCACTGTTGGCCTGCCAAGTTTTAAATAAAGATATTTAGAAAACAAAGTCAGCCTTTTGATGAGAGTAGTAACTTTTGAATTAAGTTGTTCTTGAAATCCCCAACTCGTATGAGAGCTTGTAAATCCTAGGATTCTAATCAAAATGAATGCATAAAAATTTTTGGAATGTAACTAGTTTTATTTCTTGATATTTTTCAATTTCAAAAGTAGGCTTGCAAGCTTTCTAAAAGGCTGAACTGCTGAAGATGTAACTATTTTTATTTTTAAAATTGTTCCTTTCTAACACAATATTGAACATTAATGAGCAAAAGAATATTTCCCTCTGAATACGACACAGCAAAATCCTCTATACTTTGTGCCACTTCTTTCAAAAGACTATTGTATTACAAACCCAGGAAGCTGGCGTTTACTTTCCTCTGACACACTGATCAGATTAGAAGATACGGAAAGCTCCTCTAAGTAACAGCTCCTAGAATGTCATGGTGTTTGCATGTTTAAGTGAAAGCTTCTTTAAAAAAAAAAAAAGAGAGACTGAACCAAACAAAGCTGGATATTTGGGAAGTATTCCTTGCAGCAAGCTCTCCTTTTTTTGGTGGTAGATGCCAAGTGTGAAATACTAAGCAAGAAAGATATGATTGAATAGCTCTTATTTTGCAAAACTTTTAACACATGGAACGAAAAAAGAGAGAAAATGATAAACATCTTTTGGTAGGGGTTGGCTGGAAAGAAAAAAAAAGGTGAGGCCACTGTTCAGGGAGAGTAAAAACAAATTACCTTTGGGTTCAATTTTATAAGAAGATGTTTAACAAAAAGATGCTATCTGGTAAATTTATATTCAGAAATAAAAGTTTTAGAGGGATTACAGGGATTTTTAACAATCTTGAAGGAGGACTGGAAGTTTGAGATAGGTGAAGTCTATCCTTTGAAGCCTTCTGCAGGCATTTGTTGACCTTGCACAACAAAAGCCCTCATAGAATTAATTAAGGGTCCCTGTCCATTGGGCACCTTGCTCTCCTCCCCCAAGCCATCCCAAGCAATTGGAAAATTAAATGGGAGGTTTTTTCAAGCCCCATGAAGGGGGCTGGGTTGTCCCGCAGTTTAAACCGCATGGGAATATCAGAACTGCTATCTGCTTCACAGGAACTGAGCAACAAAGAAAAGGGTGAAAGGGGGCTGTGGAAGGGCCTTGTTTTCAGCAGCTCAGATGAAGAATATATGGCTTTGCTTGCAACACAATTTATTTTTTTTAAAAATCTGAGAGGTTGTCTATTTGTTCTCTACAAAAGCTCAAAATGGGTTTGTTCAATTATTGCTGTGCTGTCTCAAGGGGATGATGTCCACACTTTCTGCAGAAATTTCCACCTTGAACGTGGCCCGGTGGAACTGTCTCTTGTCCAGCTCTCAGCTCTCAGCCCCTCATGCAAACATATGGGAATGCAGAGAAGTAACACCTGTTGAACTTCCTACAATATGAATGGTTATAAAAATTCCCCTCAATGGATGGTCTGCTTTATTCTTTGAAAAAAAATCCTGGTAGGATTGTAAATAACACTTAACAATCACCATCTGATGCAGAAGTTCAAACCCTTGAATGAGCAAGTTGTACAATAGCATCACATTAAATTTAACAAAGTTAAAGGTAGAGGGCATGATGACTACAGCTCTATCTCAGAAGCCAATGTGAAGTCCAGATACATGAAAAATTATTAGAAGAGACTTCTGTGCATGCACAAAGCAACAATCCCTTACTATGAAGTAACTCCTGTGCCAAAGTGGCTATGATCCAGCATAGGATCTTTGCACAATCGTCTTCCATGGCAACGTTCATGGAAGATTACTGTGGCAAGCTCATTGGTTTTATTTTTGCTTAGGAAGAAAAATTAACTCTAATGGGATGTCCATGGAAAAAGGAGGGGGGGAGAGAAAATATATGCCCCCCCCCTTGGAGTGGGCAGGAAATGAGATACTCTTTCTTCCTTAGTGACCCTAAGGGGAGGGGAAAGGCAATAGAGGCAAAAAGTTGTAAAATCTTGTCCTGTGGATTGGGTGACACGAATTGGCAATTCACCAAAGCTGCATTTCCAAAATCCCCAACTGAAGTATATTTTATCACATTACTAGTTGTTTCGGAATGTGTGGAAACCTTTTGATGCATATGTCTTACTCAGATACTTTGCAAGTCTAATTGTCTGGCTTTAGCCAGGCTGTGGCAAAAGAAAGCTCTTATTCTTGCTCCTTAGAAGCTCATCTGAAAACAGTCCCATAGGGTGTGTGTCACCAGATACATCCTTAGAGGCCCATTCAATAATGGGCTGAAGGGACATGCATTCACAGCCAATGGCTGAAATCCATAACTGGACTAGGCCCACTGAATCAAGGTAGATTTGGTGAGTCAACTGCTCTGCAAGTTCCATTGATTCAATACGCCAACTAGCTGCGATTTCCAACTGATTTCAGCCACTATATGCAAGTGAAGTATAATTCTTCTGTCACTTGAAATCTTTGATTTTGAATCGTAAAAGTAAAATTTTCATAAACTGTTGCCCTCTTCTCCAGAAGCACCCTTGTTCCCTATACAATATATAATGTGTGCTCCAGCATGAACAAAAAGGATTCTGGGATGTTACCCTAAGTTGTACGATCCAGCTTCTTGGAATGGGAAAACTTTTGCAATGGCTCTATCTCAACTCTTTCTGTACTTTATCACACTGATGCATTCCAGCTTTCATTATTCTACAGATATATAGTCCATGAGGTCTTCAGATTATCACAATATAGGGAGGGCTAAACAGAACAAGAGTAGCTCTTGCTTATGATATGATGGCTACTTTTGAAAATTTAATTTGCAATATTACAAAAACCCTGAACATGCTCTAATTTAATTCAGAGTAGAACATTCTTAGTGAACATAAAAAGCATTGTAGTGCAACAAGATAATCCCTGTAGTGAAACTTTTTGTCTTCACTTATAACTTGCGATGCCAAGAAAAATATTTAGTTTTGTTTTTCAATTTCAGGAACAGAAAGAAAAAAGAAGAAGGGAAAACCGTATTGTATTTTCTTTGGAAGTTTGTTTCCTTTTCTTTATCAGAAGATAGGAACATTTACAAGGGCCCCCCCCCAGGCAATATTCATCAAGCAAATGTTGAAAGGGCAAATACAATAAGATCTGTTACCACCTCTTCCCCTTTGGCCAACCATCTAAAAAGCCAAAAATAGGCACTCAAGATGACACCTCACTCCCCACAGTCTCTGCAGGAGCTCTGCATCCTGATTTTAGCATGCTCAGGATTCTTTCCTGAAACACAGAGCAAAAGAATTTGTCCAAACTGGCAGATAAAACTCAGTGATCAAATATACTTCTCTTGCAACCCTCGGCTTCCTTCTTTTGGATTAAAAATATATATATGTGTGTAAGAGAGTCCTACTCTGGGAGATACACATAAATAATCTCCTAGCAAACCTATGGATCTACCTGTGAACTCCCTGCTAAGTGAAATCTATGCAAGAACTGGATGAGATACCTATTGCCCGGGATTAGCCAGGGATCTCCCCAGTCAGACTTGCAAATCAAACCTTGTTTATCTTCCAGTGATTAATCACAAAAAAAGCACGCTGGAATGCAAGAAGCAAAGGTGAGGCAAAGCACAAGCTAGGGCATCTTTCACCAGTTAAGATACCCCAGTTGCACGCATCCTCTAGTTTGACCCTGCAATAGGTCTGCTGCAGGTACTCATATTCTGCCTTCTCCTTTTTTATCTATCCATATCTTTTTTTCTTCTCCTTGGTGGAGAAAGTTTTCTTACAGCATGAGTATTTGTTGATACTTCATCCTCCTGCTCTTGAAATGGTGAGACAAAGAGGAATTTCTACAGAAAAACTGAGATTCCATTCATGGTAAACACGGGCTGGTGCAGGGAGGGAAAAGACCTGAAAGCTAGATATTGAAGCGAGCAAAGCCCCCCATCTTTTTAACAACTATAACGTTGCAGGCATTTTCAAGAATAGTTCAACTGTGTAAAGGAGGAGGGCTGGAAGTCTGCCAGGGGGTCACCAAGTGTGACCTGCTGCGCAAATGCTGGCAGTGCAAGTTAAAGCTGTCTAAGGGAGTTTAAATTTATGTTTCCAATTTCAAGGTTTGGAATGATGCTGCTTTTAAAGGCTACCAAAGGTTGTTTGGAGCAGGCAGTTCCCCCTTCCTTTGGCAAAAAGAGTCTTATCAGACTGTAGCCTCAGCTCAAAAAAAGAGGATGTGTTGCATTCATCTTACCCAAAAGGCCTGGCAAGGCCCAAGTACCTTCCTGAACTGCTGTAAACCCTTCCCACTTCGACTGGCTTTCATCTTTGGGAGCTGACCATCAAGAACACTAGAAAACAGGAGTGTTCCACTGTGTCGCACTTTCCTTCACTTTAAGAACAGCCATGTCCTTGCTCAAAAGATGGAGAAGGGGCAGAACTGAGACAAATTAATCCTTTTGCAGTGTCCTTGGAGATCCACAAACATGCCAAAGTGCAAATTCCACAAGGACAGGCATGTCAAGAGAAAAAAAAACCCAAAACACTGAAATATGTATCTTAAAGAAAAAGGTGTATGAGTTTAATTTATAGAACAGAAATCACAATTAGTTCTATACTTTTGAAGATATTTTAAAAAACAGCTCTGCTCAGTAAGGAAATAACTGGAAGAACTCTAGTAGTATAGTATAATTAGAAATATTTTAAAACATCCCTTCACCCCATAATATTGAATTAAAAACTGCCACAATGCGCCACAGAATAGCAAAGCAAACCATATAAACCAGCATGACACCTCCCTCTCTCCCTTTAAATATGTTACTATCTTTTATACTTGCATACCCACCTCTTTACTATAGTTTTGACCAACACAAAGCAGATGGTTAGCAACACATTTCATATTTTAAAAAAGAAAAGAATTTCAAACATACTGTGCAGCATTGAAGTATGATTTAATGAGCAGCGTTAAAGAGTAGCAGCAGGTATTTTTTAAAAAATGACATGGACCCTGTCCCAAAATGCCTGTCTTGTGTTTCATCTGTTAAATGAGAGTAAGAGTGATTTCTGACAAGGCTGAGGTTTGGGGGCAGAGAGTGCTTTGAGTTTTGCCTTGATTGTTCTTCCTCCCTTCCATTGATTACACGAGAATTAACGAGGTGAGAGAGATTATACGGGGCTGTTCTATTCTGTCCTGCAACTGATGAAATAAGGAGTTCTCATCCTCCCCTTTCTCGGTTCATCTGAGCCCCTGCCTCCTACCAATGTAGAACACTTGCAGGGGTGAGTTGGCGACACTCTCCTTCCTCGTTCCTGACCTGAACTGAAAGAGCCATTAGCTATGAAGATGAGAAAGTTCCCACTTTGGTTCTTGGGCTGCAACTCCCAGAAGCCTTCACCATTAACTGTGCTGGCCACGATTTCTGGGAGCTGCAGTCCAAGAACGTTGGGGGACCCGAAGTTGGGGAACCACTGATGTACACGGTCATCACAGCACAGATGTGGGCATGATAATTACTAACTTCTAAAACAGGAATGGCAACCCATTTTCTAAAGCAGCTAGAATCACACGGAGACAGCAAATATAGGTTTATTTTTCCCGTGAAAGGGAAGAAACAGGCTTATGTCAAACTTGTCTTTCTGGATCTGAGCCTATAGCAGCTAAAGTTCTCCCCCCTCACTCCTCCTTCCTCTAGATTGCCACTGCAAACATTAACACATACTGTGTTTCATTTCATAGCCAATAATCTACTCAACTGCACACCACTAATGAGAGGCTAAGCAATTGCAATGATAGGGATGAAGCCAAATGGGCACTAAGTTTCCAGACTATGTTGTAGACTAAGCTGAAAGCAAAACTCAAGAAATGAAAAGCAAGCATAGGTCAGCAGCAACAGAAAAAAACCAGATCTGATATCCAAGAACATTTGTGCAAATAGCCATGAATCAATTATTTCTGGGTTTTTTTTTTCCTTTCTTTCTTAATGGAACAATTTGTTCTGTGATTCTTGGGCGATACCATACTTTCAACTTAGAAAACTTCATTATCTAGAATCTGTTTTCTGGGCAAGCAATCCAAGCTGCTAAAAACACCAATTTTACACTTGAGGACATTTTATAGGAATTAGTTCCTGCATTTCAAACATATGCACTATATACAGAAAATCACAGTTGTTCTTCACTTGCTTTGACTTACTACTGACTATTTACTATTTTGTATACATTCTATGTGTTAAAACAGATCAACAAGTTCATTCATACAAAACTCTTCAAGAATAAAAGGATCATGAAGGCAGTTCTCGGATTGTTGCTAATGGCTGCTGTGGGACTGCGTGCCAGCAAGACACAAGATGTGCAAACCGGTGACGAAGGAGAGGAGCAAGAATTCATTTATACAAACAGGTATAAACGCTCCACCGACACGCAAGATAAGTGCACCTATACCTTCATAGTACCTCAGCAGAAAGTGACAGGTGCCATTTGTGTTAATTCTAAAGAACCTGAGGTTGTACTTGAAAACAGGGTAAATAAACAGGAACTCGAACTGCTGAATAATGAACTCTTAAAGCAAAAGAGGCAAATAGAAACTCTTCAGCAGCTGGTGGAGGTGGACGGAGGAATTGTGAACGAGGTGAAGCTCTTACGAAAAGAGAGCCGGAACATGAACTCGCGGGTCACGCAACTGTACATGCAGCTGCTGCATGAAATCATCCGAAAGCGGGACAACGCTTTAGAACTTTCCCAATTGGAAAATAAGATACTGAATCAAACGGCTGACATGTTGCAGCTTGCAAACAAATACAAAGACCTAGAACACAAGTATCAACATTTGGTATCCATCGCAAACAATCAGTCTATCATCATTGCTCAGCTGGAGGAGCACTGCCAAAGAACACCGTCCACTAAACCTGTCCTCCAACCGCCCCAGCCACCAAACCGGGTCTACCAACCTCCCACGTACAATCGTATCATTAACCAAATCTCTACCAACGAGATTCAGAGTGACCAGAATTTAAAGGTTCTGCCACCCACTCTCCCAACGGTGCCACCGCTCACCAGTATTCCAACTTCCACGGACAAACCGTCAGGTAAGCAGATTTCTTGACCGATCTTAATATCTGGGGGTAAGCTGCAAGAAACTGTGAATCTCATTCTACAGAAAACAAGTTCTGGCAGCGTTTCAAGACTTCAGAAAGAGGTAAATGCTCAACCAAAAAGGGTGAGAGAGCCTGTAAGGAAGTATATGTGTGCTCAGCAGGGAGGATAAACTGTTTGGCAATCTGACACAGTTTTAATAGTGTGAAACTGCTGAGATCTGGGGCTACAAGAGGAAATTCTTGCTCTCCTGTTCTGAAAGGGGCCAGAATTGTTAAAAGCTTACAGGACTGTGGCTCTTAATCCTTCCTCCTCCAGAAAACCAGTTGCTGATCATCACTGGATTAATGAGTGGGTAGGTGCTGGATGGCTTCCTTTCCTTCTTTTCTGTTCTTCCTATACTTTCAACGCCTACTATACAAAACGGTCCTCATCAAGGTATGTGGGAGCCTCTCTTTTCTTTTTCTAAATTTATAAAGGGATATTTCCCTGTGTATTTGGGAGTCCTGGTCTACCTTATCTATCACTTCCACAGCATCAGTTAGAACGTGATAATGCTTAATATTATGGGGCCATGACATATTAATTCACTGGCATGAACAGAAATGCCATAAAAGTGTTTGGACTCCTGAGTTCTCAGAAACTCTTTGTCAGGCCAGATGGTTGAAAACTTTAAGGGACAGAGAGAAACAAGAAGTTCCAAAACCTGGCAGAGGAATGTAGCCGGTAAGTCTGCAGATGGACTGAAATAAGTAAATTGCACAAAAACAGTCATAACTGTTTACTGTTCTTAGTACATTAGTCACTTGGAGTCTGCTGTGGATCTCACTGAAAGAAGTAAAAGGGCAGGCTGTATGTCCACATCCATGAGGTTCTGTTTTCTGCCGGAGTTGTTACTACTAAATGAATAGGTTAGTGGTAAAAAGGTAACAGCATTGTGTTACTTAGAATCATTCGCTGAACATTTCACAGTGCAAAGTCTACGACCATAACTGTTTGTTACATATGTACAGTATGGTACTGAAATCACAATGACGCTAAGGACAACGGCTGTCCCTTTTTATCCCCATCGCCTGCTAGGCTTTGTCATGGCCCATAAGCTACAAAGAAGGGCTTATGAACCTATGGGCTGATTGAAAGCCTGAATTAGAATGGAGATTGGCAGCAAGATTTAATAAGTGATTTTTTTTTCATGGCAGATAAAAAGAGGAGTTTTAATCCATGAAACCAAGCATAGTCTGTGGCAATGTGTCATTAAATTTCCGGATGCAAAATTTATTGGTCTTAATGGCTCCCTGCTTGCCATCTCTAGCTATCAGACGTAATACAGACATTTGTCTTCTTGTCTTGGCAAGCCTCTTGGTATGAAGCTCAGTCTCCCATAAAGTCAAAATTGAGCACCATAAAACACATAAGAGTCTGAGGTTTCAAAAGGCCTGGTTCCTTCATGGTGATGTCTCCCACAGAGAGTAATTCCACAGCCACAGCCGCATGGAAGAAGTGACACACGAGCAGCTGGAGTTACTCAGCTTCCTGCAATCAATCTGGAAAAGGGCAGGAAGCCCGTGCATTTGCAAGCACAGAAACCACGGTGTGGTCCCATCGGATCCGAGGTTGCTTGTAGCACTAGCCACAGCTATGCTCTATGTTAGGGTTTTAGGACCTAACAAACAGGCCTCAGTTGTCCTCTAATCTGGTACCTCTTCACATGTACTACAGCTCTCCGCTTTCCTAACCACATGGCCATGATGGCTAGGGGCGAAGGGGAAAAATGCTGGATTACATCTGGAGCAACGGAGGAAGGCTGGTCACAGTCAATGTTGTGAAAAGATCCATGTCATAAAGGGCACCCTGAGGAAAGCTCTGGGTTTTCTGAATTCCAGCCACATAGGGAGACAAGTTACTGGCAAGCCACCAGAAAGACAAATGACTGACAACCAACGGAGAGCGAATTCAAACATGGCAGTGGCATTACACACCAAGCCCGCTTGAACTCAGTAAGACTGGCGCTTTTTTTCAGCACTGCCCTGATTCCGTACAAAAAGGCTAAACTAGGACTTTGGGTCCGCGTGCTCCCCTACCTCAGTTATACTCATGAGGAGACCGGATGTTTTTGTTTCCATGTTCCGCTAACTCAAATTGCTCTGTGGACAGTATTCTGCTGCATATATCTGCCTATGCAACAGACTAATATCATCAGCTGTGGCAGACTGTCCCTAATTAAAGAGCTGGGTGCATGTGACCTCACCTCATTGCACGTGAGAAGTGTGCACCCAAAAACCACAGAAGAGACTGTTCAATTAGTGGCAATCTGCCAGTGTCAGTGATACTATTTCCATCATGCTAGTGAAGCTCTAAAACGCAGTATAGGCCATTACATCCACATCTAGTTAACTATGGTTTAGGAAAATAAGCCAGTTTTAAACCATAATTATCCTGGCTAGTTTCCCTGAACAAACCTAACTGTATTTCCCAGATTGGGTAAATTTGAAAATAGGAAAGCAAAACTGAAACTAGAGAATGAGAGGGGAGGAGGGAGCACGAAAGCCTAAGAGATCTCTAAGCTCATTCCCATAGTACTACTAAATGTGCAGCCATGCAGTGTTTGGAAAAACAGGCCCTCAGAGTATATCATTTATGTGCATTTTTAGATTGCAATTTACCCTGGGGCCAAGGCAGCAGCATACAAGAAATTGAGATTAAAAAGTCCCAGAGCACAATTTAAACAGTTCCCAGTCTAGTGAGCGGCTGGATAGGAACTAATATGTGAACTCCCTTAAGTTACATCATGGAAGAAAGGCAAAATATACATAATAAAATATACTGTGTTTCGCTTTTTTAAAAAAAATCCCCAACTGCAAAGCACATTTGAATAGTTTTTAAAACCCTTCCACGGCTAACACTGTATCTGCTACTATGCCAAGCTGCAAACACAGCACTGCAATAATGTAGAACTGGGCTAAATTGTTTATATACAGAACGTGTTGGATTTTAATGATACCCAGATTCTGTTCTTTTATGGCTTGTGTAATATACCATAAAAATGTAACAGAAACCTTTACAGTTCAGGCAAAATTTCACAGACTATGTCACGGCCAGTTTCAACTTCTTTACAAATACGGAAAGAAACTAAAACACAATCGATATAATTTTTTTCAAAGCCCACAGGGACAATGTCTTGCAACCAAAATAAAAGGGAGTCTGGAAGCCAAGTGGTCAGGCGTCCCAGACGGCAGACAGCACTGTCGGAGAGAAATATGCTCAAAAACCGCATTGCAAGAATATATGAGCCATCTCTGTAGTGTCGTAAGTCAAGAGACATGATTCTTGGCCTGTAAAACTATTTTCTGACAATAGGATTAAAACCTTGTGTTTTGGCTAAAAGGTCTTATTTTGTCATGGAACATAGGAACACAAGAGAAAATAAGCTGCTGGGTAGGTCTTTTTTAAAAGGTCCATTAGGACAAATCTGATGTGCGGGGCTGAGAGTCCTGTGTATGAATATGAGCAAATCATCAGGACCAAAATATTATGAGTGTGTGCATAAGGTTTGTGTAGCTTGCCACTGAACCAGAGGAACTTTGACAAATCAACCTGTTTGTAAGCTTCATTCACCAAAGCGGCAGCTTTCAATGGAACATCCTCATGGTAATCTTTTCTGCCCTCCTAGAGTGAGTCTATATGCTACTGCCTGTATCTTCCTTATTCACCATATATCTCAGCTGCAGTCCATGAAAGCTTATGCCAACTAATACCTGTTGGTCTTTAGAGTGCCATCAGATCCTTGACTCTTATTCACCACGTTTCCTTAATTGTTTACTGTAACCTAATTGCACTTCCCAAGAACATTATGACTATACTGCCAGATGTTCTTCAGTAGAGCTTGCATCAAAGCAAGTTAGTGGACCAGCATTAATATATTTTCTTCTGTTATTAATTTTTTTTATGCAAACCGATGGCTGCAACAATATGCTAAATTGTGAGATACATCTCTTTTAAGAGTGCATTTACAGGAGGCTGTATGTTATATTATATGAAAAACAGAATTATTTCAAAACCCATACTGTTCGTCTTGTCATTTATGGCCCAAGTGCTTACATGTTAATCACATTTTTCAGAAGAGGGAACTAGATACTGAATTCTTGCTACAAATTGTATTTGCTTCTCTCACTCTTTTTTGCCTTTGAGCATAAAAGGTCTGGGAAATCTAAGGTTCTGGCTTCTTGCTTAATTTCACCCAGCCCTAAGGGGATGCTGAACTCACAGGACCCTTAGTTGAGATGCTAAGAGAACTTTGAAAGTGCAGATCAGACCAGCTGACAAATGACCTGCTTCCCTACTTTTAAAAGCCTCCTTCCTCTAGAGAGATTCTGTCTGGTGCTGAGCAGCTTGCTGCCTGATCTGGCAGCTGACCCATTCCGTAATTCCACGTTGGAAGGCTCAGAGAGGAGTTGCTGCCAGCTAGCCTTTCCATATGGTCAAAAGTAGCCATCATTGGGCAGGTTGGTAGCCCCGGGATGGTCCCTCCCATTGATCAATGGCCCATGACAGGAAAAGGGTTTACCACCCTTTCTTTAAGGCAAGGTTTCAAGACTTAAGCACAGTAACATTTCCACGGTGTTAGGAAAACTACTGAAGCCTTCCTCAACGTAAGAACTGTGCTCCTGCTTTTGGTTTGGAAGTGGCTGCAGGGCCATCTCTCCTGCAAGCTGCATTCCTGCAGCTAGACAAACAACTTTCCCCTTTATGAGTACAGATGCCTCCGCTAAGAACCAAGAATAAACTGTTGCTCCTCCAACTTCCCTGCACCTCCTTAGGGAAGCCTACCTCCCACTCTTGATCACTTGGATCTGAATATATACAACGCTGCATTTTCCTTTATTCAGTAATGGAAAACTTCCTTGGCTCTCAGGGCTGTGCTGGAAATGTATCAGACACTAGAAAGCCCCTCGGCTACTTCTCTGAAGTCATGTAACTAACAGAAGAGCATCGCGACTCTTGAGTGTTTAATTCAGATAATCAGCACAAAATTTTACAATCAGTTGGTAAAACAAAAATCCCTCACATATGCATCAGGACTGGAGGGGGGGCAACAGTGCAGGGATTCTGTTTGAGAATAATACTGCCCGACTCCTCGGTCTATCTGTTTTTCTCTTCTTCACACAAACAAACAAAAGCCCCCTTGTGCTTTTTATACACGTCCCACCATCACCTGTAACTAGAATTTAAGTGTTGTTTTCACAGTGTCCTTTGCACTGTATCTTAGAACTGTTGTTGAGATGAGAACCACCCTTTTTTTTTACATTTCATACAAATACTATCAAAGGCATACTACCAAAACACTTTGCCTTGTATCTATAACGTGCGGTGCACCAATAAAAAAGCAATGCTAATCTTTAAGATATGACAAGTGGAGACTTTGCCAGAATGTGGTGTTTTTAGCACCCTCTGTACGTTCAGCTTCTGAACAGCTTCCAAGAAATCAGTTGCAAAGAGCAGCTTCGTTCTTTATCCCCATTCATCAAGTCACTGCGCAAGTCAATAAATCTCTCCCACCCCACCAAACCCTTGAAGAGGATTTGAGTTTGAGAAAATAAATTAAAACAAGGGCCACTATTGTGGGTACTGACTAATGTTCTTGGTGGAACATTTCATTAATGTAGCTGTGGGGGGGGGGGACACACTGAAACAATACTTTACACCTTTACTACCAGTCCCATCTCAAATAAAAAATGGGTTTAGAACAACAAGAAACTAAATACAAATTGCTGTGAACACTGAAATACAGACATATGCATGGCTTTTACTAACCGTAGTGGAAAACGGCATCTGTTTTTACAGCCAAGGCAGACTTCATTTTAATATCTATGCCATGCATGGAGAAAGATGACTAAATAGTCTTTATATTCTCCAGGGTGAAAGCTTGATGAATCCACAAAAGTTTACATTAAAAAAATATAAAAGTTTTGTGTTTAAGGTGCCCCCACATTTTTAAACTATTTACTTCTATTTTGCATTTACTTATAACTGATGAATCAATTCACTTTTTTTTTAAAGCAGTTCCCACTGCATGGAAATTTTCTTTGAAATGACAGACCTGTTCATTATTCCACAGAATAATTTTTGTAATTAATTTTTGTAGCACTGATCCATTACATTCCTGTTGGACTCAGACAGAGATGGGACCAGTTGTTCTTTAGACCCCAGGTTTTGGCAGTCAGCTCTCACTGAGGACTACAAAACCTGTTCAGTTTCTTCAAACTACTGAAAAAGCAACCAGATGCTGGATAGGATGGTCAAGGTTAACTCTAGTTCTTTTTCTGAAAGCAAAGTGAACATGTTTGTGGCTGTCTTGCAAGACAGCTGCCTCCATGATTAATCCCCATGCCAATGTTGTTCTTGGCAAGCAGTGGAGCTGTGAAACCTCCTTGTAGTACAGGATGCCAAAGACAACTCTTGACAACCTTTGGGTGATTTCTCGTCTGGGAGGGGGTGGGATTGGAGAGTATATATACACTGTGAATCTGATCCTAAAGCTCTTCATCCAAAGCAATGGTCATTATTGCATTCTAATACCATTAAATTGACCTTAAAAAAGGAGCCATCATATAATTGATACCAACTTTACCTTTTTGTTCTGCCTCTTATAATTGCCATCTTGTCGTTACCTGAAAATCCTTGGGGCCTAAACATGGTGCAGGTAGGAAGGATATCTGTACTGATGATACGTATGGTCATTGCTGCCATTGCAGTTTTCTATGCCTAAATTCCAAATGGCCCACATGTATTTGCCCAGTAAGATAGTCCACCCAATTCCACAATCAATGGCTGACTATAATATTGCAATATAAACTTTATGAACACACGAAGAGCACAGTTATACTATTGAAATAAATCAGGTGAGGGATCAGGATTTTCAAATTTGGTATAAAGTCACTTGGTAATCACATGTTTTATTTTTATTTTTATTTTTATTTTGGATTGGAGTGTGAATCCTCTTGGGGGAAAATTGTAAGCCATTTTTAAACTGTGTTGTAGATCAGTTAAGGGACTTACATGATCTTTTAGAATAATTGCATTTGAGGCTTTGTCCTGTGCCTGCCCGCCTTCACGCTTGCTGCCTCTCACAGCCACTAGCCACTGTTGCTGTGGTGTTATTTTGTTTAAATCTGAAATAACACTAAAACAGAATGGCAGATATAACATACATTGAAAAAGGGTTGAAATTGACCAGGCTTACAAAGGAAGGAGATGCCAAGCCCTGGAACTGACATTTTGGCTACATGGGAACTTCCAAGGCTTCCATGTAAGAAGACACACATGGGGGTGGGGGAGAGAAGGAGCATGGAAGGCACCAATGAGTGGCAAACCCCACAGACACAATTTACACCAACAGAGTTTATGCATGCCAAAACCATTACAACTAAATTGATTTGACATCTCATTGTAAAATAAACAACCCTCTGATGGAAGACTAAAATACCTCATTTTCCAACCAAAAACATACTTCCCAGGCCAAACAAAATGCCACACTTCCAAGGCAAACAAAGAAACAAATAAATATCCACACTACCACGTGCATCATGTAGTCAGTTTTTTGGAAAGCGATTTATAGCATGCTAAACTAGATTCAAATATGGGTGTAACTGCCCTCTAAGACTGGTTAAAAGTCCAAGTTACTTGCATGGTTTTAATCAGTACCACCATAATAAGCCTTGTTCTGTACAACACAGTTATATAGACAGTCATGCCTAATATACTGAAAGGCACAGAACTACAGACTGCTGATAGGCAAGTGCTGTAAAAACTACCAGTTGCTTTAATCTGACTCATTAAGTGGGTGATGCATTTTCTTTCCCTTCCCTACCTCAAAACAAATTTTTAGGGGGGGGAAGTACTACGAAAAATGAAGGTTACTTTCCCTTTGAGCATGGCACTGCTCCAAGAAAACAGATTTCTTTAATAGCAGAGCTGAAGCAGAAATCTGTACAATGCGTATCAATGACAGGGATGATGTCTTTGCTTCCACCAGGTCCTTGGAGAGACTGCCTGCAAGCTTTGGAAGATGGCCATGACACCAGCTCCATCTACCTTGTCAAACCTGAAAATACGAACCGGTTGATGCAAGTCTGGTGTGATCAAAGACACGATCCTGGTGGCTGGACGGTCATCCAGAGACGTTTGGACGGATCGGTCAACTTTTTCAGGAACTGGGAGACTTACAAGGTAAAAGACAAAGAAATTTTGTGTTTGCATCCTGAAGAACAGCCTTTGGAGTCATGTTTTGGAAGCTGATCTGCAGAATGTGTGTGAAGTTGTTGTTATAGTACTTGGCTACATCCATGAAGACTGAAAGGTTATATCTCGGTAGGTCTTAAGCAAATCAGGAGTACCAGATTTGTTGGAACAGTAATTGTTATCAGAGGTAGCAGAACACAATCCACCTTGCCCAGAGGCCTCCTAACTACATAGTTTGGTTTGGACTTTAAAGCTGGAATCTCCTAGGTGGCTGGAATTCAGAGTGACTTCAGCCCTGGCATGGCAGGGACCACAGACCAGAACTATGGGGTTTTTTTAAGCTGGAATTTAGACAAAACAAATAACCAGGCAATTCAAGGTCTAGGCAGTATTTTGATCCAAAAGGGGAGTGAACAGAAAAGGACAGAGCAGGACAAATTAAAGTAGGGGTGGATCCTGTAGCTGGAGTCTGGTAGCGCAACAGGAAGGCAGGTAATTAAGACAGGAAGGGTTGGCGGAGACATTTTGCATGGACACTGGGTTCTTGCTGACAGCCAGATTTATCTGGAAGAGAAGCAAGAGAAACTTCCCTTTCTAGTTTTTTTTTGTGTGTGTGTGTGTTAGAACATGTGAAAGATCTAGGAAAGCTGGTCTGTTTTACTTTCAGTGGATTTACACAAAATTCGTTTGGAAAAGCCCCTGAAAGCTGGAAGTTCTTGTTGGATACTCTTGGAAGTAGGGTTCAAACCAAAAATTCATTTCCTTCTCCAATGACTTCATTTCCATTCTCCTCCAGGAGAATGTGAGTAATGATAGTGTGCATGGGTGCGTTTGCTCTAGTGTGGCACCAATCCCATGGTCCCTTACTTCTCATATCATAACTGCTCTTCTGTATGGGCAGTGTTTGAGAGGGAAAGAACCCTGGCCTTGGTTCCATACATGTGGCTCCCATACCAACATGATCAAGGTCAGAGGAAAGAGACTCTAGTGCTTTTAAGGTAAGTATGAACTTAGATTTCTGTGGGCAAAAGAGAGAACCAATTTTCTTTTTACTTGACAGATTTGTAAGTGGGAGAAGATCTGGGCATGAACTCAAACGGGTAAACATCGAACTTCAAGAAAGCAGACAGTTACTTAATAGCTTTCCCAACATCGTTTGGAGAATGAAAACCCCCTTTTCTGGCCAAGAGCTCAGAGTTAGAAGGCAAACAAACCAAGGAGGTGGCTTATGACTAGATTCTGAAGGATGATTGTGTATCCCAGAAAGTTCTCTGAAATGCACTTACATGAAAACACTTTCGCACTACAGCCAAGTTTATTATCTAAGTGTTCTGTCAAATCAGCACAGAGAATTAACATCATTTTCCCCCTCCCTCTACAGCAAGGATTCGGTAACATTGATGGAGAGTACTGGTTAGGCTTAGAAAACATTTATTGGCTGACAAATCAAGGAAACTACAAACTGCTGATAACCATGGAAGATTGGTCAGGCCGGAAAGTGTTCGCTGAATACGCGAGTTTCCGCGTGGAGCCAGAAAGCGAGTACTATAAGCTGCGACTGGGCCGATATAATGGTAACGCTGGAGATTCTTTCACATGGCATAATGGGAAACAGTTTACTACACTGGACAGAGATCACGATGCATACACAGGTACAGCTAAAAAAAAAACTTATGAATTTTATGAGAACACAGAAAATGTTTGTGATTTTGGTGATACAGCATAAAAATGAAATGTTATAAACTAAAAGATAGAATTACTAAAGATGTTGAGGACATGCTCAAGGTACAACCAAAAACCAATTATTGAACAGACCCAACAGACTTTGGAAGGCGTTCTGCTAACAGCTCATTCACACTTTGCTTCCACCTTTCCAGGAATGGGAATGTAGACCAGAAAGTGGGTTAAGCAAAACAGGATGACAAACCAGGAATTTCGGGAAGCCATGGGGAAAAATATATTGTTAGACAAGAGCAACTGAGATAGCTCTTTTGCCTGACAGACTTAAGATTCTGATGCAAAGGTTTGTCAGAACATCTTGGAAAGTTTGTTAAGTAGTGTAAGGAGCCAACCATGCTGTTACTGGGGAAATAAACAACTGGTACTACGGTTGTTATTTCTAGTTGCCACTAAACCTGAGGTTCCTTTATTGCCCCTGAAGACTTGCGGGTGAGGTGAGACCCGAGGAGCAAGATTCTTCCACATGGAAAAATGTACCCTTTGATGCATGCAGTATTAGCTTATCTCATTCATTTATTCACAGAGTGATACCCTCATTTCTGTTCCAGGTAACTGTGCTCACTATCAAAAAGGAGGATGGTGGTACAACGCATGTGCACACTCAAACCTCAATGGTGTCTGGTACCGAGGAGGACACTACCGAAGTCGTTATCAAGACGGTGTCTATTGGGCTGAATTCCGGGGGGGTTCATATTCCTTGAAGAAAGTTGTCATGATGATCAGACCTAACCCCAACACATTCCACTGAAAGACCATGGTTGTCTCATCAGATTGAACAAAGAAGCAGCAACAGCTGCATGTGTGATCCAGAACAGTTGTTTCAGCAGCAAAGAATGTATCATACTGTACATTGATTGCTCTTAATTGGAGGACTTGTACATTGTATTTTTCAAAAATGGTTCCAGAACTGAAAGAACAAGAAGCATTTCAGAATGCCACTTTTTTGCACCAAAAGACCTTCCTTCTTTCCTTCCTTCCTTTTGGAGTTACCAGCTAAAATGGACTGTGGAAAAATGAGATGCTAAGAATACTGCCACATCATATAAATATTTTTGTACGTTATATATATATATATATATATTCTCAAATACTGAACATATTCAAAACTGTACAGTGAGACTTTTTTAATAATAATAAATTCATTTGACACAGGAAAGTATATCCTTTGAAAGTATGTAGTCAGGACAGATAATGTTTAGAGCCCCCTTGCTTAATTTAATCTCTGATCGCTATTGAGAAGACTTAGGCCAGAAACAGACATTAGAGATACTCCATGACTGGAAGAGGGGAAACTCTTTACTAATGTGAGCATCTGAGTGTCTCAGCAGAAGCTTCTCCCACCATTGCCATTACACAAATTAACTTGTTTCATTTGGTGACTGGTCTTCAGGCCTTAAGCACAGGATTCCTCTGAGCTCCGATTTCACAAACATGGAAAGACAGCCTTGGTTACCTCCGCAACATTAACATATTTTCAGCTCTAATTACAAGCTGTCACTAGTGTCTGCTATTGATCTTAGTGTCTGTTGGAAAGTGACCACAAGCAGAACCCTGTTTTCCACGAGGAGCAAGGCATTATTAGAATGAGATATCATTTCATATGAGACCAACCAACAGTCCTGATAGATACCTCCACTGCTGTCTACATCTGTTAACACACCAGCCGATCTGGGTTTTACATGTTCAATGCACATTCTGTAACTGACACAAATACCCATCTTCACATAAACGATAGCTTAAGAGTTATTTTGGCATTACCTTCTCCACTGTCACTGCAACAACAAAAAGAGCTATCCAACTTTTGCAGGCAAATGATGGATACAGATACAGAACTTATTTAAAATACCTGTAGCCACTAGATTGTGATCTTTGGGAGAGAGACTATCTGGAAACCAGAGCTATACTTGTTGTATTTCACTATTATTGCCAAATACCATTATAAAAGAGAATTATACAATCATATTTATAAATAACTCCCACTGCAGAAACTTGAATTCCTGAATTCTAGTATTCTGCTGAGGTAAATTTCCAGAATAGATTATTTTAGCACATTATAAGAACAGTGAAAACCATAAATTTTTAAACTTTTATTACCTCAGTATTTTTTTTCCTAATGTACAATGTGCATTAATGTTTTAGAGTCTGATGTAGCATGTCTTGTATATAAATAAAAGTAGGGGTTTTAATATATTATCAGATTACTCTTATAATAATGCAAAAATGTAATAAATGCAACAAATCTTATTATGATGTGTTTATCGTTCTTCTATCATCATTATAACAGTTTTAGAAAGTACTTAAAAATCAGATTGGTAAAATCTGATTTCAGGAAATGTTTAAATAAGACAGTGGTCCCCAACTTTGGATAATTGGATAAGTGCTTAACTGCAGCTCGCAGAAACCCCATCCAGCAGAGCTGCTGAACTGCAACTCACAGAAACCCCATCCAGCAAAGCTGCTGGTGAAGACTTATGGGAACTGCAGTCCAAGAACTGGGTTATTCAAGGTTGAAGAACCACTGGAATAGAATAAAAGCAGAACTGGATGTTAGGTGGAAAAGCTGTCTCACAACACAGAGCATTACTGAGAAGTAATAGCGTGATAAGAATCAGTTTAACAAGATTTTCAGTCTATGTCAAGTTAGCTATCTAAGAAAAATTGTTAAAGAAAGAAGCAGTGCCAGAGACAGAGGGAAACAGCAGGACAGCATTTGAAAGTAAGCACAAAAAGACTACACAAAGAAAGAGAAAGCTAATGATTAAATGCTACATAAAGGCCGCATGATCTCAGAGATGGGAGGATGGACTGCATTGGAGGGGTGCCCTTCAAGATGAATGGGACCACAGCTTCATTACTTTGCTATTGATGAATGGTCTTTAAACAAAGGTTAGGATGAGGAATAAGTTGGGCACTAGGTGTGGTGACGATTTTGGTCCCTGTTGACAAGGACAGGGTCTATTCATTATGCATGGTGGAACAGCAGACGTTAAGGTTGCCTGCCTCCCCTGCCCTCCACAATAAGCAGTGCATACCACAGCAAAGGACAACTAGTATGGGTATACTGGGTGAGGGGGAAGAGTAGGTGTTCTTTCTAGAAAAAAAGAGAGGATGGAATCATAGATGCTAGGTGGTAGAAGGCCTTCTGAGAAATCAAAGTGCAATTCCAAACATTGTCCCTCTGTATTCCAGTCCCAAAATTCTACCCCAGGGAAATCCTGAGTTATAAAGAATTAAGATTTTTTTCTTTTTGCCTTGCTGCTTCCTAGGAAGGCCGGGAGCCAAAAAGACTCTGCCAAAAAACACAAGAGTGTACAACAGTCTATCAGAGTTTTGCAATCCAAAGATCCCAAAGGGCTGTAAGAACAGTAACAGAAGGAGCTCCTTCTCACCAAAAGGCAGAGAAAGGCATGAGACGCGTGTATGTAAGCAGAGACTTAAATCAGATTCTGGGTGAACTCCTTGGAGAAAACCCTTTTTCCAAGCGAGGGAATAAATCTGTAGGAAAACATTGTCAGCACCTTATCTTCTGCTCATGCAGGGAGCTTTTGCTAGCTGAGCTGAAAGGGTGATTTGTTTGCACTCTGTTCTGAGTGCAAGAGAAAGATGCATATCGTTTTTAAAGTTAGTTTCCCAGTTTTAATGTAGTACACCTGAAATCCATATCAGCGTGCAATGACAACACTTACAAAATCCCACTGCCTGATACAGCAGCTGTGAAAGCATAATGTGCAAGGGTTTTCAAATACGTCCAGAACTACAGCGGTAAGAAAACATTTAAAGCAATTTTAACTGACAGATACATCTTTTTCCATAATTGATTCTCCTGTGATCTAGAGTTTGTACCACTGCATGCAAGGGATCCAATGTAAAGATTTTTACATGCTGGATAAGCATGGGTCCTCTCTGCATTTGTCTTAAGAGTATCTAATTGCACACAATAACCTAAACATGGCCTGTGATAAGGTCTACCACAAAGGCATTTTAATAATAACAGATAATCTAAAATGCAGGATATAATTTAGGTGCACGGCCAAAGGAATGAAAAGTAATGGGTCTTGGAAAAGATTCTGGAGTCATTAAAGAAGCCCTCAAAGGCGGCTGCTTCCTCAAACCACAAAAATAGTGCTGTCTTCAACTAAAACTGAACCTCATAATCTTGAATATGAAGCTAGTGCTTCCCTCCCTCCCTTTCTTCATCTGCAATAAAAATTACAGGCAACGAAGACCCCAGAAATATGCACAATTCCTTTGATGTGAATACGGCTTCATTAATTCCAGCCCTGTTCCTTTTCCATTGCATGCCACTCCAGCCCAGCAAACTACCCGATGCCATTGTTACTTCTCTTGGCAGTCGTTTGCTAGCTGCGTGCTTGCAAATCTTGGATGAGACGGATGGCATCCACAGAGGAAAAGATGATAGAAAAAGCAAACTCTACTGCATTGAAAACACACACAGTTAACAAGCTTTGGAATAAATTATAAAATACGCTAGCTTCTTGCCTACCACACTGGTGTGATCTGAGGTCTTGCTAGTCAATTGAGTCTGCTGAAGCAGAGAAACAAAACAGGGTTATATTCCCGAGCTTTACTGATGCTGGAACAATTACCCATTAAGAGAAAGTATTGGAACCGATGAGCTCACTGCTTTGTGGGTATTTTAAAATCAGAAAACAACAAGCCGTGCTAAAAAGTACAGAAAGGCTACAGGAGAAAAGATCATTTAACCAGCTGCATCAGAAATTGAAGAGTTGAATATAGGAGACTGTTTACTAAGTAGAACTACCTTAGATCTAAAATATTTAATACTAAACAGTTCCTTCTGATGAAGGTCCATCTGCCTTCCTAAAATCATATTGGTCAAAGATAATAAAACTGTACCATCTGCTTATTGTTCCACATGATATTTTGTATTTTTAAAATATTTCCAAGGGGCAATATCAGAACTAACTGCTACAGTGAACATGAGAGTATTTGCTTACATTTTTCTAGTCTGTTGTAACAGCAACACAATGCCTCAACGGTGCATAACACAAATGATTTTCCAAGCAAAGGAGCAGTAACATTTGTCAAAATAACACATACAATGCTTTGTTTCTTTTTAAAGATAATGTTCCAAACCCAGACATACTTGGGATCTACATCAAGGACAAACAATTCCGTCAACAAACTATTATTATCTATTGAATCAAAAGCTGACAGTAAATCTATAAACATGTGAAATGCCTTGCATTATTCTTGGCTAATTTCTTCGCTGAGATGAGATTTAGTATAGCAATGATGAAAAACAAAAAAACAGAAATCCTTCAAACAAATTACTGCGTCAACCATTGACAAGGAAGATTTACTCTTACAGATGTTTAAAAAATGGAATGTGAGAAAATATTCAACAGATCAACAGGGGAAGAAAATGGTTATCCTTTTAAAGCAGTGGTCCTCAACCTTGGGCCTCCAGATGTTCTTGGACTTCAACTCCCAGAAATCCTGGCCAGCAGAAGTGGTGGTGAAAGCTTCTGGCAGTTCTAGTCCAAGAACATCTGGAGGCCCAAGGTTGGGGACCACTGTTTTAAAGGACAGGGTAGACCCCAGAGCAGATTAGGAAAGAAAAGTGAGAATTCCGGGGTTATCAAATCTCCTAGAGAAGTGGCTCCCGGCCTTGGTTAACCCAGGTGTTTTTGGACTGCAATTCCCAGATGCCTTCACCACTAGCTGTGCTGCCCCGGGTTTCTGGGAATTGCAGTCCAAGAACACCAGGATTATTGTTAGTCCCATCTAGGAACCACTGTCCTAGAGCCTTATTTGACTTTTAACAGATCAATCAAATGTTTGACCACAGCTGGTTTATATGTGTATGCAAAGACCGTTATAACCTAATCATTAAATCTTCTTCATCTGAGCAAGTTAGATATAAGAAACAACAACTAAAACAGAAAACCAAAACCCAAAGGATTAAACAGTTTTCCATGGCTAGAATAGTGTCTTCTTAAGGCACTTAGTGAAAATGATCTTAAGCTTCATCAAAAGTAAGCTTCCCTAGCAGTGAAAATGATCTTAAGCTTCATCAAAAATAAGCTTCCCTAGCTACAGTAAGGCATTCTAAAATCAATATGCCACAGTCATTTAAATACATGACATTGGCTTGGACGAACCTGTAGAGCTATCACAGTCCGATGCTGTAACATTACATTATTATAAAAATGTAACACAGTAAATTAAAAACTTCTCAGAAATGTATTATAAAGGGCGAGTATATTTTGGTTCGTTATACTCACTTTGCATTTTAAGTAATGTGCTGTTCTTTTCCCCCCCCCAAAACAACCTTCCTGCATTGAAGATCTTTGGAAGCTTCTTCCATTCATCTGGAGTGTTAAGCCAAGAACGAAGCAGGCCTGGGGTGGGGCAAAACTGTACCCCAACAACATTTTTCCATGGGAAGATGGGTTTGATCAACAGAATTTATCATAGGCATGTCAAATAAGAATTTTCCATCAGGTCAAAGCTGCTAACTCTTGGCTGTGTTTGTAAAACTCTGAAGTAGCAATATCTCAAGAGAACCTCTGTGTTAGGATAACAGGCCTATTCTGTGGGGTCTTTTTTGTTTTTTTTTGCCTTTCCCACAGATCTGAACATGGTGGGTTTTCTCTTGTCATGTGGCAGGAGGGCAATGGCACAGATGTGTGGAAAGAGTAAAATACTAGCTCACTGAACTATGCAGGTTTAACGTGTAGTTTGGATTTCATGCCCCTGGGCTCACTTGATAATCAGAACAGCAAAACATTTTGTTGAAGACTGTTTTCAGGAGATGTTCTAGAACTACACAATGTTCACACTTACCTAAATAAGGGATACAGGGGACCATCTTTAAGCATCGGATGTAGTCTCGCATCCTCTTATAGTTATCTTCCTTAGACATTAAGTAGTCTAGCTTCTCAAAGTTAGTCTTGTCTTTGCGATTCAACAACTAAATAAGAAAATACGAATAAAAGAATTAAAATCTTGGAAAAAAGGAAGCTGGTAGAATACAAGAGAGCATGCCTATTAATCTTTTTCAGCAGAAGAAAGTTTTGTTTAAGAGGCGGAAGGATTGGACGGACATTCAAAAACACAACAGCATCAGCCTTTAACTCTATACCTACACTTCATATAGTGACTACAGATGGGCATGAACCAGCAAATGACGCATCGGGATGGTTCGTGGTTTGTGGCTATACATGAACAATGAACAACCCTGGGGAAAATTAACCAGTTCACAATTCATTTTTTTCAGGTTTGTGTCTGGGGGGGGGGAGAACCTTTGCCCCCTTCATCCTGCCCCTATTGCCTCCCTACCTGGTGGGCACTCCGTCCCTGTTGCTGCAGTGACGGGACCAGAACGCTCCTCAGAAGCTGGGAAAGGGTGACGGGAGCATCGCCCACTCCCAGCAGCCTCCTTACCTGTTCCTCCTGCCTCCTCCTCCTCTTTCTCCTCCACTGCCACCATCTTCAGAGATAGCAGGCCCGGCTCCCGGAAGGGCCACTGTCTCTGAAGAAGGCAGCAGCAGAAGAAGAGGAGGTAGAAGGAGCAGGCAGTGAGGTGAAGGGGGGCAGGAGGGAGAGGGGTCGAAGCAAAACGATGTGTCGGGGGAAAAAAGTTCAGTGCTTTCTTCTGTTTCATCAAAATGGGTTAGAATCTGTGGGTTTTCCAGGGTCATAGTGTGGTTTGTGCTCATCTGTATTAGTGACTACATTAAATATTTTGAGCAAAACTGTAGAGATATCTCCTCTTCTCACAACGTGTTAAATATAAAGAACAACATCTTATGTAGTCACATTATTCATCCATAATTCAATGTTGTGTGTTTTGTATTACACCTATGTTACTATAATGGCACATGCCAGCTGAATTCTTTGGCTTGAGCTCACAAAACAGTGTGTTTCTGCTGGCATTCTCCTGTATTCAGAACCACTTTTCCTTTTCCAGAACCCTGTCTTACATCGCCTTGTGCATACTTCAGTCTCCGCTCTGTCTAGGTCGACCCTTCAGATGACCTAATCCCAGACAGATGCTGATCCCAAAATATGAATTTACGCCAGTGTCACCCAAGATTCTGTACTTCTTCACCAGTTTCTAAAGGGTCAGCACTTCACTTGCTGCCTTACAACGAAGCCAGAGAGAGTGCTCATCTAGCCCCGAGTTGTCTCCTCTGACTGACACTCGTTTTTGTATAATCCTTTTAATAGGAGATATGGGGGCCTGAACTTGTGTCCACTGGGCTAGAGCCCCACTTCTTACATACGAGACACCTAGCTACCTTTTGCCGAGCCAAAAAGTACACTAATTACAGCTATTTTATATAATACAACTATAACACAAACTTTGAACTTTGTCACCATTCTTCCAGGCAGTGCTACCAGCTGAATTATGGATCTATCTTTTCCTGATCCATCACCTGACTTAAACACTGCAAATGATACCCTCCCTCTGAACACGACACACTAAGAATATTCCACCCTGACACAGGAAAACAACCTCCCAGCACAGGTAAAGGAAAGGAAAGTTACCAAATGCCAAGAGCCTCAATAAAGCTACCACAGCTTTTACTTTAGAAATAATAGCCTGGATTCAACTGTTAGTCCCATCTAGGGTAGAATTATTGATTCAATGGAATACACACACACTGGCCACCTCATCATCCAGCAATCAAATCAATGGGTTGACTTTTGCGTAGACTAGAAATTTGTTTTAAGTCAATGTTACATTTGTAATGTAACAATATGTCCTTAGACACCACAGTACAGATAAGAGAAATGCAGCATTGATTTGAGAAAATTTATCTATCTGCTTTTAAAACAAAGCTTTTTTCTCCCCCCCTCCCCTTTTACACAGGCTGGTTTGAGACTAGAAATTGCATCTACATCTCTGGGAGTTATTACACGCATTTATGTGTTATGAGAATTCCTGGCAAAAGGGCAAGGAAGTAAGGGAACTGGTGTGGGATCTTATGCATCTTGCAAGTTATGGATATTGTTTATGTGACTACAGAGATTTTATAGTGACAGAAATTATTTGGATCAAAGCAAAAGGAAAGTGTGCTGCTTATATACTGCCCCATAATGCTTAAAACACTCTCTGGGTAGTTCACAAGTTATTTATGCAGGCTACACATTGCTTCCCCCCCCAAAGTGATCAGAGTACTCAATTTACTGATCTTGGAAAGATGGAAGGTCGAATCAACCTCAGCTACCTGAGTCCACAATCAAACTCAGGTCACGAGCAGAGTCTTCACTGCAGAACTGCAGTTTAACCACTGCACTACGAGGCTCCTTAACTGGGCAAAATTCATGTGCTTCCTTTGTTAGATAGCTTTAATTTCAGAAATTAAGAACGTAGATGCCTTGAAAGCAGCTGCAACTGACCTGGCCTATTACACACATGGCCAATCTAAGCTTTTCATAATGACCGGAGTCTCCAAAACTATTTAAGCTATTTTGTTTTCAGCCCCGAACTTGGTTACACATGTGCTAAAAGCATGTGAAACATTCCATGTGCTCCTAGTTAAGGAACAGCATACACATAAATGAAGTGAAAAAAAATTAATGAGTTTGGATGTAACAGAGCTAGGAAGAAAACAATGTTTGTGGTTTAATATTTCTTCCCGGCACCACTGGCAACAAGTTGAAGTTGCTAATACAAAACAACTTGCTTGACATTTTAAAATGGTTAGAATTACAGTATTTAATTTAGAAAAAATGAGGCTTTAAAAAAAGCAAAAGTACTGATATTCTCAGGACATGCAAAGTTTTCCCTATCTTCATACGGAAGAAACTCAGAATACTGCACAGTTCTACGAGGCAGTAGATTGCCTCAAATATGTAAAGTAACTTATGTAAGCTACTCTTTCTCCCAAAATGATGAAGTACACCATATTTTCCACCCAACGTGAATATGTCTATGGCAGTATCTTTCTTCTAAAAGCTACTAATTCTCAAAACAACATGTGTGGAAGAGGTAGCAGCCCACTTCCCAGGCTCCCACACGTTCGTTCGTTTAGTCGTTCAGTCATGTCCGGCTCATAGTGACCCCATGGACCAGAGCACGCCAGGACCTCCTGTCTTCCAGTGTCTCATGGAGTTTGGTCAAATTCATGTTGGTCGCTTCGATGATACTGTCAAACCATCTCGTCCTCTGTCATCTCCTTCTCCTCTTGCCCTCACACTTTCCCAACATCAGGGTCTTTTCCAGGGAGTCTTCTCTTCTCATGAGATGGCCAAAGGATTGGAGCCTCAGCTTCAGGATCTGTCCTTCCAGGCAGCACTCAGGGAAGGACAGATCCTGAAGCTGAGGCTCCCACACACTGAAGGGCAACTCCATCCTTTAGCAGCCATCCCCTCTTCTCAGAGAACTCCTGCAACTGTAGCTGCACCACAGTCCTCAGTGCCTTCAAGGATCTTCAATATGTCAGTAAAATTCCCAGAATTCTCAGAGAGGACCCCTAACAGTTGGAAGTAATGTATATTTTGAGTGCATGTTTACCTCCACACCCTTCTGGCGCCTCCACCACTGGACCCTGTGCTAATTTCCTCTCCAATCTGCATGGTTTCAAACTCAACGGAGCCCTTGCGTCACAGAGAAACACAGAAGAAACAGCAGGTTTTGAGACCGCAGTCCAATGACCTTTAAAGAGAGCAGCAGATATGCTTGTGTGGTCGAAGACAAGCTACCGCGTCGTTTATTCACGTGGCAGCTGGAGCTCCTTGATGTGCTAGACTGTTATGCAATTTTAGCAGGATTTCCCATAAAACCGCCCAAAACTGAGTAAGTTTAACTGCAAATAAGTAAATCAAAATTGCCTGTTTAAATATAAGTAGAAGTTTGTGGACCATTTGCCCAAAGATTCTTAGGGCAGAAAATATGCTGTTCTCATCATTTGTTACCGTAAGTAAATTAGACAGAATCCTTGGGGGGGTGGGGTTTACTGTTTAAGGTTTGCTTAGGAGACAGTTTTCATATGAAAAGTGCAAAGACAGCCAAAGCTTGTTGGTGACACCTTGAAGTCTAACAAACACATTATGGCATAAGCATCTGTGGGCTAGTAACATATTTTCTTGTTTAGCTGAAGTCAAATGTTCTGTTCTGTACTGTTAAATAATGTTATACAGTAAATACTTCCAAGAGAAAATGTCTGTGCACCAAAATGAGATAATAGAGGGGCTGCACAGAAAAGCCTTCCTAGAAACCACTGGCTGACATGTTTTTGGATTATTTTGTGCATCTTCAAAGACATGTGAGAAAAGAAGGGAGGACTATGGTTTTGGCAGCCCTGCTCACAAGTGGTAGCGATCAGGGAGTGTATATGCGCACGTGCCTCTTACCACTGGTTGCTATTAAACAGAAGACACAGGCGTATTATCTCAGGAAAGAGTGGAATTACATAAGACAAAATTTGACAAAGGAAAATAAATATTACAACTTCAGCCAAAAAAGGAAAAGTAACCACCATCAGCAGCAAAGCAATCCTCGAAGGAAGTCCTATACAATTAGGCTTCTGCCCTGCTTTCTGTTTCTTACCTCTTTCCCAGCTACTTGAGCTAACCTTCTTATACTGATTTTATACTACACAGAATCCTGGCGGAGTGGGGAATCTCTCTCACCCCATCTCTTGGATCGTCAAGACGATCTCTTCCTTTGAACTACAAACCAGTCCCATCCTTGGAATGCTTACAAAGATAATATTGGAATAGAAAAAAATGGAAAGTGAAGCAGGGTCAGGATGACGACCTCCTTTGGGTCATGTTCCATAACCCTTATTCATCCAGGATGTTTTGTTTCAACAAGATGTGGCAATGCCCGTGAGGTTACATGGCTTTGAAATGCTGTTTAGACAAGTTCATGGAAGAGTAAAGTTACCAATAGGTACATGAGTACACCTAGAATCAGGGGCAACATGCTTCTTTATGTCAACTGGGTGGACGGACACCAGA